TTCCGCATGGTTTGTAAGTCCCGCAAATGTTGGTCGGTGCCAGCCTCACCAGCCACACCTCCTGTCTCTTGATGTCCCTCCCCCATCTTCCATTCACTCGACTTGCCCACCTTGCCAGTCCAAGATCCAGCTCCACAAGCAGAAACATGGGACTTGAGAGGGCCAGCCTTCTTCCCTCCGTCTGCCACCAGCAAGCCATCACAGCCACCATCCTCCTTCCCTTCCAGAATGCTCTCCAGGCCCAGCTCTCAGCTCTCAGGTTTGTTTCTTTCTGAAGGCTTCCCAGCTTTCCCATTCTCTCACTCTGGGCTGAACGAGGGCCCCAGCCGGCTCTGCCTTACACCAGCCTCTGTCTGGGTCCCCTCCCTCCTCAGCCCTGGCACCTGAGTCTGAGCTACCTGCCACAGGCTGGGTGGTGTAGTATTGCCCAGGCTCAGGGAAGGTATGAAGAACCTGAGGACCAGTTTCGTGCTCATCTCACCCACCCTTCCCATTGGCATAGCATCCACCTAGGAAGGCCTCGTAGTACAACAGAGTATGATTAGGACAGGCAGAGCAGGAGGTGTGAGAAGCCCAGGAGTCTTTAGACTTCCAGGAGACGAGGACAGGCTACAGAAAACATTCAGCCCAGCCCTGAGGCCACCAGAGCAGCCATGAGAGTCGGGACCAAATTTACCATGCTGGAGACCAAGTGTTTCTCAGGCTCACGGGAGCAGGTACCAGAAGAACTGGCTGAGCATTCAGGGAAGGCTTCCTGGAAGAGGAGCTACTTCTTCTTGTTTGAGAAAAAGAAGACGGTAGAAATGAGAGGTTTCCAAGGACATGGAAAAGAAAGCCTTGCCTTTGCCTGTTCTGTCAGGGGAGGTCAGTCAGGGAAGGGAGAGGAGCTGGGGGGTGAGGAGGGCAGGGAAGGATGGACATAGCATGATGCTCACACCATGGCCAGGGCAGGCATGGCTGGCAAACTGGCAGGCAAGAGTGCCCCAGCTGTGGCTGGGAAGCATTTCCTGTCTCTTTGCCAGGGGGCGTCATTAATAATCATTTACCCGCCACAGGCAGCTCAGAGGCCAGCCAAAGAACAGCGTGATGCTGGGGCCAGAGCCCAGCCTGGTGGCCAGGAGAGCTGGACAGTGGTATGTATGTATTAGCCTTGCCACGTGCCGTGAGCCCTGGCCCAGCCATCTCATCTCCTTTCTTCTCTGGGAATGTTAGAGGGAGGAGGTTCTGGGAAGAGTGCTGCTTTAGGTCCCCTCCCTGCTCAGGGCTTCAGCTTCTCTAGCCGACAGCGTGGGCTGTCAACCCTCCGGGGCAGTCGTGGACTTCGATGGTAAGTAGGAGAAGAGACCTTGGGACACAGGAAGCCAGACCCCGGTGGGGTGGACATAGAACCAAGAGCAAATTCAGGCTGGGGAGCTGCTGAGGGGGGAACCAGCTGATCCAGGCAGGAGGAGGGGGCTGCTGCACACCAAAGGTACGAATTCCACAAAATGACCCTAACACTTCAAACTGTACCTGAGTGGCGCAGAGTAGGGCCTCCATCAATGCTTGTCGACAACTGCATGAGTTAACCTGTTAGCAAGCCGTCATCAAAGGACCCCAGAAGTTAGAAGGAACTAGCTGAACGATGCTGCTGCTGGTGATGACAATTATGACGGTGACTCAGCCAAGGACAATGGATAGGGAAAGGTGGTAAGAAGCTGGAGACCAGGACTGTTGACCCGAAGCCAGGCAGCTGCTTTCGCACTTGGCCAAAAAGCAGAATCTTTTCTCACCTCAGCTCCCTGCCCACCTCACATTGCTTCCAAGACCCAGCTGAAGCACACTCACTTGAAGAATCTTCTAGAATCTAGAAGGTAATGCTGAAGCATAAACCCTAGACCCTTTCTGGCTAACTGGAATGTCTCTGTGTCTCCAACCTTAGGAGTCCTGAATGTCCTTTAATGCCTATCAAGAGTGGCCAGAAGGGCTTCCCAGGGCCTTTTCTGGAGAGTGTGATGTGAGTCTCGAGTGCCTGGGGACCTCTGCCATCAGACTAAAGGATCCCCAAAAGTTTAATCAGGTCAACCCTTTCTGGTAATGGCTTCTATGAGGGCAGTGTTAATTTCCGCTCTTGATGTGGAGTCAACAAAGCAGACACAGACTGAGGTCTTCCTGGTTGACCCCCTGTGGTGACACAGAGAAAGGAAGAGGAGAGCAGGGCATGGAAAAGGGGGGTTTGGGCTGCTCAGTATCACTGAGGTGATGTGACCCCGAAAGAACACCGGACCATCCCAATTCTAATAGTATACAGGTGGTAGGCTCGGTCAACTGCAAGCCCAGTCCGGGCTGCTGGCATAGAGAGGTACCTCCAGAGACACCACCCAAGCTCGTGGCCAGTGCTAGACACTCCCTTCTGCCCAGACTGTAGTAAACACAGTAGATTTGCTGACACGTGTATCCTCTCCCCACCCCTTCCAGCCCTGGCCCCAAACACGGGGCAAGCTAAGAGGAAAAGAACAAAGGCTCCCTGGCCACAACATCACCCGCCGCCCGCCTGTCCAGCGCCTGCTCAGCAGGAAACTCAAGACAAAGGCTTTGGTCAAAGTGAAGAGGATGAAGGGCAAAGGGTAGGGGCAGCCTGGGTTGGGAGGGCAGGCGAGGGCATCTCTGGGGACCTGATTAGGAGGAAAGCAAGAACAGGAAGGCAGCCAAGCCCTCCTTGCACACATACGTCACTGCACAAACATTTATGGGGCACCTGCTGTATTCCACACATGGCCAAACATAATATGCCTCTTTCTTCACACCACACACCTTATGCACACACTTCATTACCCAGACCTCAGCCCTGCCCCAAGGCATCCCTAATTCATCCTAACTCACTGTACACGGTTCACACTCTCTTCATCACATGCAAACAGTTCCCAGGGAGAAAAGATCACAGAACCCACACCTCACACTGAAAAGTCACACAGCTCACACACACCCACACTTCACACCACACTCAGACTCCATCTCCCACAATGCACCTCAAACTCACCTCCCAAGCCACAGATGCATGCATCCAATTAAATTATACACACACACACACACACACACACACACACACACACACACACACACCTCAGACATAGAGGCACATGCAGACATACTCTGCACAATATGCATGCTTAATGTCACACCAAAATATCACACATTTATAGACACACAAAGTCCCTCAGCCTGCAAACTGCCTCCTCTTGCCTACCCTCCAACCTGGTTGGTCAACTGGCTTCTTGGTTAACCAGATCCCTTGGTCTTGACTGCACCCTTTCTTGCCCAGAGTTGCATGAACAGTCACCACAGACACATGACACTCAAACATCAACACACACGTCCGAACGTAATCCCCAAGCAAACCCATCGTGACCCTAAGCCACCAAGGAGGCTGCGAGCACACCCAAACACAAACCTCCTCCACTCTCCTCTCCCAGGACATCCATTCAAAACCAACAGGACCATACTAGGACTCTTCCTGGCTACCTGCTACAGCCAAATAACATCCATAGTCACATACTCAGTCTTCAACATGCAAGCTGTCCCTACAACAACATCACACTGCCATGACAGACACAACCATATGCACACGTAAGAGTCACACACTGTGCTACAACTCCACACCCATAATTCTGCCTCTGTAGCCACACAGAGCATGTTAACACCATCGACTCATAATTTCCATACCATAATCCCTCTATGAAGAATCTCACTCAAATGTTGCGACCATACAGAGCACAGCACACATGATCACACGAAAGGCACACCCAACACATGCTATACACATTCAGGAACACTCACACAAGCACATACACCCCAGACTCGCCCATCCCTCACCACAGGTGAAAGACATCAGCTGGCAGTCTACCCCTTTCTCCATCCGTAAACCCAACTGCCCCAGTCACCACCGGGACAGCAGAAATAAGGGGGGGGGGGGGGTAATAAGTTACAAGTGCCAGTGTCCCACCTCATACCCTGGGCACCCTTGAGGGCAATGTTCTCCATGTTTAAACCCTTGTACTCCAGTCCATCCCATGCCATGCCTGAGAACACAGGCAGTGGTGGAGGTCCTACACATCCCAGCCCTGTTCTCTGAGCCTGCCCCCTCCTCAACCCAAAGTACAGGCAACTACACAGGGAAGGCATGGTCACAGGAATACCCTGGAACAAATAGAAATCTATAGACACTGACGGACTGAACAGACCAAGAGAGGTGGGCAACCTGGAGCAACACACTGAACACGAGGACAGCAGAGGGCCAGAAGGACAGAGCTCAAGAATGGAGAGAACTGGAAGAATAATGTGGCGCCATCACACCTCGAGAGAGGAGGCAACAGGAGGAGACTGGAGGTCTGTGGAAGAGGGAGATGGGAACTGGGAGGGGGCGGTCTGGCAGAGGAGGAGAGAGAAGCTGGGGTAGAAAAGAGCTTTGGACCCTTGAGCTGGGTTGAAGATGGCACTAGGGTCTAGATGATTAGAAGAATGGGGGAGTGAGGCTATAGAATAGAAACTAGGGGTTTGCGGGTGAAGTCCTTCTTATGAGGTAGAGCTCCCTGCTGCTAGGGGATTGGGGGGTATGGGTGTGCCTGGAATCTGATATGTAGAGAGCCATAGGTTTGGGAAGGGGGTCCAGTTACTCTGAGGAGGGAGCTCCAGAGCTGTCAGTGTGGGCTGGGGGTCCCACCGTGGATGGAGAGTTCAGGGCTCGGGATGGAGGAGTTCCAGATGCAAAGAGGAGTTCGAATCTAGAGTGGCATTTGGGCTGTGAGCTGGAGAGTCAAGGACCCCCCCTCTGGTTATGACTGCAGTCCCATTCGGTACAAGACTGGTTCAGAACTAAGAGAAGGTCCCCTCTTAGAGGAAGATTCAGGAGAGGGTGGACTGTGAGGCAGACGACTGTAAGCTCTTCAAAAGACCGGGCCCCAGCTGGGCTCTCCCCGGACACCCGGTTCTCCCTGTTACCCAGAATGGGGGGGCCCCCCTACCTGCAGGCTGTCGGCGCATGGCTGCGGCGGCGGCGGCTCGTCCGGCTTGAGGAAGACCTGCTGGCCCCGCCTGAGGAATTGGACAACAGCGATGAGGATGTGGTGCAACACCAGGACCATGCTCGCAGCCGCCCGCCCGCCCCGCTAGCCCGGCCCGCTGCGCTCGGTCAGCGCGTCCGCAACAGCTTCGCCGGTCCGCGCGAGGGTCCGCCCTGGTCCCGCCCCGCCCCCGCCCCCGCCCCGCCCCAGGCCTCCAGGCCCCGCCTACGTCCCTGCCACCAGGGACAGCACCTTAACGTCTTCCGAAGATCGGACCCCACCAGATGCCCGCGGGCTCGCCCCCTGCCAGGCCTTCACCCTCCCATGCCTCCTCCAGCGGGTCGGCTACGGGGATCCCCTCTCCTCGGTCGCCTCTCAGCCTTTGCTGCCCTCCGCTGTCCCATCGCCACTCCTCCTATTTGGCAGAGCCCCTCCCAGAGTCCCGCGCACTGTCGCACCACATTCTCTCCCCATCCCTTGGACTTCAGTAGCCCAGCCAGAGCCCCAAGGCCGAGTCCAGCGCAGTGCAGGGGCCGCGGCCGCAGTCCAGGAGCCCTGAGGTCCCTTCTCTCCTTCTAGTGCAGAAGGTAGAGGGAAGTGAGGGAGAAATTTAGAGGTCGCTCCAAAATGGGACGAGCCCTGAAGCGGTAGCAGATCTGTGAAGGAGACACGTGCTCCCTGACACACACAGGCGCACCATTCCCAAGTGTGGGGTGAAGGCGCTGGGTCCCTAAGGCCACCAGGTAGGTCTGCATCGGCGTTCCGGGAGACTGAAGAGGTTGCAAGCCCCAGGGCCACGTAGTCCGCAGTTCCGCGGTGGGACCCCGCAAGCTGGGAGCGCATTTCTCCGCAGAGCGGCCTCTGTGCTCAGGCGCTTGCGGCAACCGTGACGCTCCTGCGCCCCCTGGTGTCCTATGGCGACGGTGCGCCCGACCCCAGTTGCAGTTGGCTGGAAGGATGAGGGGGCTTTAGTGGCATGCAATCTGCCTTAAACTCCTTGCCTGGACCAACCTGTTTTCTAGCCTCTGCTTGCCGTTAGACAGGCTAAGGAATGAGCTGTGTCTGGATTGAAGGGTGAAGTTGCGTCTTCCTTGACTTTGCCAACGTGACTTTAGCCAGATCCCCTTCTCATTTTGCTGGGCCCTGGTTGTCCCACAAGATTGCCAGAAAACTCAAACTTGGGATGATGGTGAGGCAGACAGACACAGACTCCTGAGAGCCCTCACTGTGACCTTCCCTGAGACTCCTTTCTACACTACTGTCCCGCTTTCTGTCCTTCCCTCTCCCCCTGCCCTTGGAAGGTGACTCAATGAGCCCCCAGCCCCCCACCTCACTGACGTGATTCATCTGAGCCTTTTCTCCCTGGGGAGCAATTTCCTTAGTGTTGAGTCACTGAGCCCAGTGCTGGACACGGTCCCGGCACCTGGCACAGGCTTGGAAGTGCCCTGGCTGTCCCAGTAACTCAAGGGGTGAGTGTCCATACAACGATTTTTCCCTCCTTCTTGCTGAGGCATGGTTCTGAGATGCTTCTTCCTGTGCTCAAAAACCCTTGGGTGGCTCCCTACCAGCACCATAAAGCCTAAATCCCTCATTTGGCGCTGTAGACCTTCCAACCCTGGCTTGTCAACCAGCTCTGATACCTCCTATCCCTTGTTTTTATTCGGCCCTTTCATTCAGATAACAAGTGCCTCATTCTCCCTTCCTGGTCTGTCCTGTGCCACCCTATGCCCCTGCTCCATTCAGGAGCCACTCAGAGGCCATCTGCTCTAGGAGCCTTTCTCTGAATGCCACCTCAGTGTTGTGGGAGGCCCTTCCTGGGAGTCAGGTCTGGGAAGCTGAGGACATGGTCTAGGCCAAATCCATGTGGTTTATTACATCTTCAAAATAGGGCAGTTAGTTCTTCATATTAACACTGTACAGAACATGACATAGGCTGAGATGTGTAAAGGTTCTGCCTGCTCCCCCTTCTCTTTTCCAGCCTCAGTTTCCCCTGTGTAAAAAGGGATGGCCAATATGATGACTGTTCCCCAGTAACACAAACTGCTTGGTAACCCTGGTCACAGGTCACTGGCTTGGTCCTAGGCTTTGGATAGCCAGGGTGAGACAAAGGTGCCCAGGAGGTGTCAGCATGGTTATTGGCCAGAGCTCCTGATTCTTCAGGGGACCTCAGCTCAGCCCTGCAGTCGAGAGCCGACCCCAGCCTGGCACGGCCCCCATCTTAAGGTCGAACCTCCACAGCACTTGCCTCCTGAGAAGTTATTCTTATCCTACTGGACTCTCTCCTACTCTGATGACTGTAGTCCCAGATGCACATTCTGTCTCCCTCGGTTCTTAGTGCGTTACTTGTTCTGATTCAAGCATTCTTCAGGGGGACTGAGGGAGTGCTCACGGGGCCATAGGCTCGCTGCACGACGGTGGCCAGTGTGTCTATCTGTGCCTCCACTGCCCCATCTGTGAAATGCTAACAAGCCTAGATTCAATAAATAAGCAAACAAACCTCTTTCAGCATTTGGTAGGGTTCATCTTCACCTGAGGTCCTCAAATTCCTCAACCAGACCCTTCACAGTTGGGGCAACCCAGGCTCTGCCAAATTGCACAGGGAAGGGATCTTGCCAAACTCTCGTGGCTAGGAAGCATGCCACTCAAAGGTTAAGTCTGGTTCCGCTGGCCTCCCTAGAGATCCCGGGTCTCCCAATCTCTACAGTCCGTGATCCACTATTCTTGGCTCTCCCTTATGATTCTAACACACTTCTTGGTCTGAAACCCCAGGATTGGATTCTGGCTGATCCCTATCTCATGAAGGCAAGAGTCAGGACTAGCCTCTAAGATCTGAGTTGCACTTCTAGGCCTGGGAGTCTTCCACACCTGGCAAGCGCATATTATCTCTCTCTCTCTCTCTCTCTCTCTCTCTCTCTCTCTCTCTCTCTCTCTCTCTCTTCAGCATAAAGTACACCTGACATGTGTGCATGTATGTGTGTATGCATGTGTGCATGTTTGTGAGTATACAAGTGGGCGCAGGTGAGTGCTTGCATGTAGAAGCTGGAAGATAGCCTCAGGGGTCATCCACAAGAATGCTGTCCACCTCTTTTAAGATGGCGTCTCTCATTTGGCCTGGAACACATCAGTTAGGCTAGGTTCTTGGCTAGCCAGCAAAGCCCCAAGAATCCTCTAACCTCCGGCTCCCAAGGGCTGGGAGAACACCACCACAAACATCATTTTCACATGCGTTCTGGGGATCAGACTGAGGTCCTGGTGCTGGTGCCCTGTCTCCACAGTCCCATTAGCCAGGGTTCAAAGAAAAGGAAAACTAAGGCCCAGAGATGCGAAGTCAATTGTTCATGGGCATGCAGCTAGTAAACAGTGGAGCAGATTTCAACCCTGCCTGCCTACCATCTCTGCCTTCAACTCATGCTCAATGCTTTAAAAAAGGCAGGTAAGAAAAACGGACTTCTCATACTCTGTTATCTCCAACAATGCAGGGACTGAGGGTCCCATTCTCCCAGTCCCTCCACCCTCTGCTCATCTCTGGCATCAGGAATCCCATTCCCAGATGTCCTTTGCAGCCTCTCTAATCTTCTTATCTCCCTATCTTAGGGCCCACTTGTCCCATACTAGGTGCTCCTCCAAACCCCTGCCCTAGACAGGATAGTTAAGGAAAAGGTGACTCAGCTGAGAGCTTGTCACCCTGGACCCACCTGAGCTACAGCTTCTTATAAGACCTGCACTGCCTTGTGTCTGCAGTCATGAGAGTGCCTGGGACCTGTGCATATCCAGAACCTATGCTTGAGGTGTTGATTTAGCCCCTTGTTGTATATAAAAAAATGGAACTCCCAGATGCATATCCATTGCCTGGGTTCAGTTGGTCACATGGACGCCATATTCAGTGTTCTTAACATTTGGAATGAGCCTCTGTGCCTGCAGAACAAGGGCCCAAGCATAGCCTCTCTAGCTATGCCCACACATACCCCTTCCCTAGGCTTCCAGAATCCAAGGTGGCATCTAGACCTTCAGCATGGCATTCAAGACTCATCCTTGGCCATGCTCACCCCATCCAGAGCTTGTGGCTTCTCCTCAAACTTTGCCCAACCTCTTCCCCATCTGTGTTCAAGGCCCTTCCAAGGTCAAGTTGCCTGTCAAGATGACAAGTTTCTTCACTTACTTATGGCCAGACATTGGTTGAGAACTTATTCTATGCCAGGTACTGAGGATGAAGATGTTTTTTAAAAGCAGTTCTTGGGGCTGGAGAGATGGTTCAGTGGTTAAGAGCATGTACTACTCTTCCAGAAGACCTGAGTTTGATTCCCAGCACCCATGTCAGATGGCTTCCAACCACCTGTAACTCCAGCTTCAGGGAATCTGACACCTCTGGCCTCTTTAAACACCTGCACCCATTGCATACCCCCAACACACATATACACATAACTAAAAAGTAAATAAATATTTAAAAAGCAGTTCTCCCCAGCCACAGGCAGAAAACTCCCATCCACTGAGAAATGGCCCCCACCAAGATGACCCAAGTGGATCCACCCACTTCTTTCCCTGTGCCTCTTCGGTGGTCCCACAAGTGAGGGCAAAGATTGTTGGATCCTGCCTTGTGTCTTCACAGACCAGTGGGGAGCACTGAAGTTCTCAGAGGAGTCTAGTTAAGTCAGAAGATGGTTCCCATCCCAACATCTCTCCATCTCCCACAACTGATCCTGACAGACCTTCTATAGAACCCATATGTGCTGCTATCCCCAGGACCATGACCTGCTTCATGAGTCTGTTTTCTGCCAGGCATGATCCATCCTGTGCTGGACTGTGGTCAGACTATGGAGGCCCAGGTTCAAATGAGAGCCTTGCCTGGGTATCCCTGGGCAGGAGTCTAACCCTCTCTGGTCTCAGACTCCTCAGGAGCAACAAAATTGGCCTGGATCTCTTGAGAGCCCAGGAGGCTGAGGTGGGTGAAGGGAGGACCCAAGCAGACCTAGATAGGCAGAAAGCAACTCTCCTGCCCAATCAGGCCAGGCCAATGGCAGGGCACAAGGACCA